GCCCCTGCCCTGGGCTGGGCCAGTGGCGGGGGGTGGTAGCAGGGGAGGGGGCGACAGCGCTGCCCCTGCGAGGAGCTTCTCGAAGCTCGCCGGGCTCCGGGTCGAGCCCCCCTGGCCCCAAGGCCGGGCCGATGAGCTGCGCCTCTGCCATAACTTAGCTGGGAGGGGAGGGGGGAGCGGTGAGGAGGAGTTGTGAGGAGAACATCTATGCCAACACCGAGGGCGGTGGAAGGAAGGAGGAGAAGGGGGGTGGAGGTTCATCGGGGCAGAGAATCCCGTGGAGAGAGAGTACTGCCACCCCCCAAGCCCCCCATGGGGGTCTGCCGAGGCAGGGACCGATCTGTGGCTCACGCTGAGACAGGCGGCTGTGGCCGAGGAGGGCCGGGACTCCATGGGAAGAATCCCCCGCTGTTGCAGTTCAGTGCTGGGAGGACTGCAGGGCATGGGGGGTGACCCACATGCCCGTGGGAGGGACCCGTGTCGGAGTTGGTTTGTGTGGGGGACTCTCTCCTGTGAGAGCGGCCCCGCGCTGGGACAGGGGAGGCATGCCAGAATTTTCCCCCTCCCTGAGGTGGAAGAAGTGATGGGGCTGACCGCATCCCGCATTCCCTGCGCCTGCACCCCTGAGGGAGGAGGTCGCGATATCAGGAGCAGAGCTGAGCGGGGGAGAATGGGAGGAGTGGGGGGAAGCTGTTTTCAAGGTGTGGTAATGCTTCTCATGGCCCCACTCTGTATTTTAAGTGTTGTTGTTAGTGTTTGTATTAAGTTTATGCTCTTTTTGTCTTCCCCTAACAAGTCTGGGGTTTTGCCTGCATCTTAAAGGATGATGTTATCTCTCCCTGTCCTTATTCAAATTCCTGGGTCTTTTGCTTCCCTCCTTCTCATCACTGGGGGGCAAGACAGGGGGCGTGAGCAGCATCTTTGTTTATTTTCCCCTTCTCAGCACTGCAGGAAAGGTGAACTGGTGCTCAGTTGCCCTCTGAGCTCAAACCACAACTTCCCCCAGTAGCCTTACACTGGGGGTGGGTTTCAGGTGGACTGAGGATCTGAAAATGGGAACGGGTCGCTGCACCCTTCCCTCCTGCTGGGGCAGAAAACCCCTCTCTGGACACTGCTGTGTCTCAATCACAGCAGAGGCTGGTCCCACAGACCCTCGCTTGCCCTTGCTGTGGGCTTCAAAAGCAGGTCAGGCCTTTTAACTCTGAACCAGCTCCAAGTCCAAGGGCTCAAAATCTGCCTGCAGGAGCTAGTTACTGATTAGTCAGTTTGCCTGCTTTCTTTCCGATGAAGTTCATTCTCTCTGACACTCCTTTTATTGCTGTTTTTTGGTTAATTAGGCAGGGAGAGGTAAAAAAAGAAGTCTTAAGGTGTTCTGAAAGTGTCATAAGCACCAGAGCGCTGGAGAGCTGCCACTCGATAAGAAGAGGATGTGGTAATAGGCAACCCACAAAGAGCAGATTTCTCAGAGCCAGCTGGGATTCTAGCAGGGGAAAAAAAAAAATACAAGTAAACAGTCACCAGATCCCATGACTAAACTCTTATCATAAAGCAGGAAAAAGGTCAAGGCTTTGGTCTTGCCAAGAAGCAGTAAGAAGAGCCAAGACCATGGTGCTCCCCTCCAGGAGGCATTGCAGAGTTAGAGAGGAAGGTTGTGGGAAATCAGTGTCACTCAAAGACAGCCTCTCTCAGAAGGGGATAACAGTTTTACAAGCTCCCGAGGCTGTTTTTTACCCACTCACCCTCCCTTTCTCATGGCTTTCTGTAGTCACAGTCTGATACCCGAGCACAGACAAGCCCCAAGACACGAGTGTCCCAAGAAGTCTGGGCAGGACCACTTGTGTGTGACCCAGGGGACAAGGGGCGCTGGCTCTTCTGTGCTCCCAGCAGCCCAAGGTTCTTGGCTGACAACAAGAAACTAGGTCTGGAGCAGATCGTTTAGGTCTCTTAGGAGTCAGCAGCTATTACAGTGTGGTTCTTCCCTGCAGCCTCTTGTTGTGGTGTGCTAACAGGAAGAGTAGTGGCGTACGTGATGTCATGCAGCCTTCCTGCCATCCTCTTGGTACTCGAGGGGGAGTTTTCCAGTGAGGGGGGAGTTATGTGGGCTGTAGCCTTAGCAGAGTGGATAGAAATAGTGTGGACCTCAACTGGATTAGCAGTGTCCTTAGGGATGAATGCAGGCCTTTTTTTTTTTTTCTTCTTTTTTTTGTTTACTAACCCTAGTTCTGCTGTTTTTTCCCGACATTTATTCACGGATGTTTTCATTCCCATGAATCTTAGCTTTAACAAATCTCCTCAGAATGGGATGACATTTTCTACTTGGCAAGTACCTCGAGCTGTTGTGCAAACTGGGTGGTGGCGAGGAGAGCTGCTTCAAATGGAGCTTGGTTTTGATGACTGGTAATGAAAGTGGTTCCTGGCCTGTTTACAGGGCACCTTGAAAGGTAACCTGTAAGCAGCAGGCCTAACCTTGCTACCCACTTGACTTTTTTCCTTGCACTGTTTCTGGATATGGTATGAATTGTAAAAGAAAATTTGTAATTTTATATTCAGGTCTAGTCTTTCAGGCTTGTAATTTGAACACTCAAGTGCTTGCGCTGCTGGAATGTGAGCCTTTAATCCAATCACAGTGGGAAAGCTTTAGGATATATTAACCAAGATGTCTTTCCTTGGTTACTTAAAATTTTTGACAGCTGGGTCATTAGAACCAGGAAAAATGTTAAAGTGTAAAATAAGACGAGCTGAATTCTTGCAGCACCCCCAAGGACTAATCCTCCATTAGGAGGGGTCTGAATTGGCTTGCACCCGGTCATTTTTTATGTCTATCCTGTACGTTCTGTGTACTGGAATAAAAATCATGCTGAAGTGATTGGGGCAACTCCTCAACTCTGTGTATGCTTGAACAGGAATGTATTTGGTGTGCTGAATGTAAGCTGTGCTTGGGTTGTGGTTTAACCCCAGCCAGCAGCCAAGCACCACACAGCTGCTTGCTTACCCCTCCTCTGGTGGGATGGATGGGGGAGAGAATCAGAAGGGTAAAAGTGAGAAAACCTGTGTTTTCAAATAAAGACAGTTTAATCAGTAAAGCAAAAGCCGCACGCCCAAGCAAAGCCCGCTCAGGGATCCATCCCCCACTGCCCCTCGCGGGCAGGCGCTCGGCCATCCCCAGGACAGCAGGGCTCCGTCACGCGTAACGGTGACTCGGGCAGACAAACGCCATCGCTCCCAACATCCCCCCTTCCTCCTCCTTCCCCCAGCTTTACGTGCTGAGCTCAGTGTCCTGCGGGCTGGGATGTCCCTGGGCTCAGTTGGGGTCGGTGTCCCGGCTGGGTCCCCTCCCAGCTCCTTGTGCCCCCCCAGCCACTCGCTGGCGGGTGCTGCGAGGAGCAGAAAAGGCCTTGGCTCTGTGTAAGCGCTGCCCAACCAAAACATCCCCGTGTTACCAACGCTGTGCCCAGCGCAAATCCAAAATAGAGTCCCATACAATCTAATATGGGAAAAAATTAACTGTATCCCAGTCAAAACCAGCAGAACTTGAGAAGCTGTATTGCAGTCTTAGAGGCTATGATGGGTGCGGTATCAGAACGCTGGAGAGTGATTAGGAGAAATAAACCCAAATGTTATTAAAAATATCGAATAGCTTGCCAAGGGAAGCATCTCAGCTTGTGAGATGACAGTCTGTGGCTGTGTGGCCGACCTGTGTGGGGGGAAAAGCCTCCAAGCAACTAGAGGTGACGTGCCCAGTTGCTGTAGATGCCCACATGAATAAATAAAGCATTTTGAAGTAGGCATTGTTTTTCTCATTTTGTTGCCTGAGTTATTTAAGAGAGCAGTCACAAAGGCAACCATGAACCAGGGTGCTGTAGCTGCTGCAGCTTAACTCCACCGTTAAGTAAACTGCACATCTGCCTAATGAACTCTCCTCCTTCTCCAGCGGCTAGCCAGGAGATGTAGCCCCTCAGTTGGTGTTACATAAGAAACCAGAGCAGCCTGATTGTGGTTTGCATTTTAGCTTTATCAAATGCCCATGTTTTTCTTTTTTGCAAGGCTTGTGCACAAGCCTGTGGTCCAAATTCTTTGTTGGCTTAACTCCAGCAACTTGGTGGATTTGCTCTGCCAGGCTGTTTGACCTGCAAGTTACTTAAGGTATTGATTTCACTTATAAAAAACCCAGGGTTTTATTTTACCATGTCTCACATGAGGTGTGTCTGCAGCAGAGGGACAAAGCCAAAAGGTGAGTTATAATGAGTTAAGAATGAGTCTCTCATTATGAGACATGTGACCCATCAGGATCTTCTGTTACACTTTATAAGTTTTGCTTCTTTATTCCCACTGCTAACACCAACTAATCGAGTCTTCAGATGTACCTACAACTGCACAAATAGTTTGTGTGTCTGCTGACATTGTCCTTCCAGCCTTTTTTTTTTTTTTTTTTTTTAAATCACAGTTAATGAAAATATCAGAACACCGTCAGTTTGAAAATCTGTTGGCACAGTTTGGAAAACGAGTTTAAAATGAACGGGTTTGTATTTGTTTGTTGTGCAGGCCTGGCAGGATGCTGGACTTGTCCTGTCCACGACCAGCAATGAAGCCTGTAAACTATTTGATGCTGTGCTGACCCAGGTATGTCCAAAAATTGTAAGGAAATGTGATTTGAAGGAACCCGTGCATGAAACAGTCTTTGCTGTAGTTGGTGTTTGAATTTCTTACCAGCTGGGAGAGCCTCACAGTCAGGGGTTCAGCCGTTAGCGGCAGCAGAAAACTTTTGTAGCAGAGGGTGATGCCAGATGCTGCAGTGGTGGGGAAAACCTCAGCCAGTGTGCTCATCCTACTTGACACTGGAAAATCAACCAATTGACAACCACATCAAAATCCATGGTTATTAGTTCTGCTGGTGGCCAAACTACCTTAAAGAAAACAGGTTTTCTGTTTTCCTACTAGGCAAATTCTCTGTGTGTAAAGTTTGTCTTTTAGCCATTTGCCTTGCTGACTTTGTGAGTTTTAAATAACTGGAGAATGAAGAGAAGCCCATTGTCATCAGGGATTCTCAATCCTCTCTCTCTCTTACAGTATGCAACCTGGACCAACAATGAGAACCTTGGAGGCATTGAGGGATGCCTCTCCAAGTTAAAAGCAGCGGATCCAAATTTTAGTGAGTATAACCTTTAATTCTCAGCATGGAAAGTGCTGGATAGTACCTGGTGTTTACCTCACTTAAGGGGAAGGTGGTGGCTTACACAATTCTGTAAAACTCCAGAATCTAGAGCAGGCTGCAATGGTTTTGTGTGGGGTTTTTCTTTTCATTACTTTTTAAATGGCTGTCTTGAAAAGCCTCTAAGAACTTTTGACTTATGAGAGTCCTGGACCACTGTTACTACAAGTTGGTCTTGTTTAAAATAAACAACCCCTCCTCGTGTTTATGTAGAGAGGGATGTCATGCTGTACAGCTCAGCTTGTAACATGCTGTTTTCCATAGCAATGGGACACGTCATTGCTAATGGTTTGGAGCTGATTGGCACTGGAAGTTCAGTGCGGCTCAACAAGGAGCTGGATGCTGCGATGAGGACAATGATGACACTTTCAAAATCACAGCCACTGACTGAGCGGGAGAAGCTTCATGTAGCGGCATTGGACATGTTTGCCAGGGGGTAAGTCCACTGTCATCACATTTAAAGGAGTGGGAAGAGTTTTAGCTACCACAGGTGGAAGCAACAGTTGGTAGTAGTGTTGCCTGACATCACAGAATTGCAGAATCATCTTGGTTGGAAAAGCCCTCAAAGTTCCTGCAGCCCAACCGTGACCCTCCCCCTGACCGTTTCCAACTCCCCCAGATCCCTCAGCGCTGGCTCAGCCCGACTCTTCAACCCCTCCAGGGATCCCGGGGACTCCCCCCTGCCCTGGGCAGCCCATTCCAACGCCCAACAGCCCCTTCTGCACAGAAATCCTTCCTCAGAGCCAGCCTGACCCTGCCCTGGGCAGCTTGAGGCCATTCCCTCGGGGCCTGGCGCTGGGGCCTTGGCTCCAGAGACTCATCCCCCCTCTCTGCCCCCTCCTGGCAGGGAGTTGCAGAGGGCCAGGAGGTCTCCCCTCAGCCTCCTCTTCTCCAGACTGAACCCCCCCAGTTCCCTCAGCCGCTCCCCAGCAGACCTGTGCTCCAGACCCTGCCCCAGCTCCGTTGCCCTTCTCTGGACACACTCGAGTCATTCAATGGCCTTTTTGGGGTGAGGGGCCCAAAACTGAACCCACTCAGCAAGGGGCGGCCTCCCCAGTGCCGAGCCCGGGGCTCAGATCCCTTCCCTGTCCCTGCTGGCCACGCCAGTGCTGACACAAGCCAGGATGCCATTGGCCTTCTTGGCCCCCTGGGCACACTGATGGCTCATTCTCAACCCCCCCAGGTCCCTCTCTGACTGGCAGCTCTCCAGCCACTCCTCCCCAGGTCTGTAGTGCTGCTGGGGGTTGTTGTGGCCCAAGGGCAGCCCCCGGCATTTGCCCTTAGTGAAATTCCCCCAGTTGGCCTCAGCCCATTAATCTGGTCTGTCCAGGTCTCTGCAGAGCCTCCCATTAACTGACATCTAGCAAAGCATCAGGGTGAGATGTCAGTGGTTGTTCTTCAATTTTTCTCTCCAAACTGTAAGTGCCATGATTAGTTAGGGAGCAGCACCGTAGGAGGGGAAGTGCTCTATTGCCACCCCTAAATATCACTAAGCTGTCCTTGTTTTAAATCCATCCTTGATCCATCGGTGGAATCTGTGGTTTAGAACCGGGAAACTCAAATTATTTGTCTACAGTAAGGGCCAATATTCTATAACGCAGCCTCGGACCCACAGAAACAAAGCTACAAACACTTGTCTTCTCGCCGCTGTCTCCCTGGGCCAAAGACTCTTTCCCCCGTAGAAGGGGGCGATTGCAGTGTCAGAAGTGCTGTAGAGGCTCCCTGTTCCGTTCGGTCTGATGAATTCAGACCTGCAGAAAGTAGGGGCTGAGGATTCACTTTCATTATTTGTCAGACAAACGGGTGAGCGTGGATTTACCTCACCTACTTCTTGGCCAAGGTAAAGAGGAAGCTACTGAGTCCCTGTTACTCTGGGTCTGAGTCCCATTAGAGGAGAGGGATTGTGTCTGTGCATGTGAAGTTAGATGAATTATGTTAGGTCCCTGTAAAAACTGTTCAACCCTGTAGAAAACCTTTAGATTTATGTTTTAGGCTTGTTTCATTTCCTTGTCTGTTAGAGTGACTTCTTGCAACCCCACAACATTTTTTTCAAAAGGTTTCCCTAAAGGTGCTCGGTGAAGATAAGGCCAGTATTACTTTAAAAAAGACTAAGAAATTTCTTCAAGGAAATAAAACAAGTCATTTGATGTTGAATTTTCTGGTTTTCAGAATAGCATGAGTTCAGAACTAACAGTAGAGGCAGGTATGTGTGCCTTGTCTGAGCAATCAAAATGTTTTTTTTATTTTTAGCCAGCTTCCAAAAGCTTGTGATTTATGGGAACAGATTCTGCAGAGCCACCCAACTGACCTGCTAGCCCTCAAATTTTCCCAGGACACTTATTTCTACCTGGGATATCATATACAGATGCGGGATTCTGTTGCCCGGGTTTATCCCTTCTGGACTCCGGATACACCACTAAGCAGGTGGGTCATACTTCATTTTGAAAATTGCTCTTTATCTGATGTGCACATACTTTGTGGTTTTTAAGTTCAGCCACGTCAGAATAACAGAATCTGTTGGAAACAGATGTGTAGACCAAACCAAGGGCTTAGAAGTGACTCAAACCTGACCACAGATAGAACATCTCTCCTGTCTCCCTGTTGACACTCTTTGTTGAGGGTGTTTAATTCAGTGAGCTGTGGCTCAGTTAGTAAATTTTGATGTCAAATGCAGCACATGGCATGTAACACACAGGACAAAACCACCCAGGATAAAATCATGCCCTCGCTGAGGGCAGTGGCCAAACTCCTTTGGGCTTTTATGTGTGCAGTTTTTCACTTGGGGCTCAGCCCATGGGTGATGGAGCGCGTCAGTGGAAGGAAGAAAGGAGTTGTAACTTGGAATACCAGAGTGTAGTTCTGAAATAAAACTTTGGGGGTACCATAACAGCTGGTGCAGCAAAGACTGACAGGAAGGCAGAATTTTAAAAAATGTCTTTAGTTCAGTCCTGAAAGCTTCAGTTTCCCAAAGTTTGTTGAGGATAATCAGAATCTATTGACAAGTGAATAGTTAATAAAAACTAACTTGGGCTGATTTTTAAAATTATTTTTAAGACCTGTTAAATTATTTGAAAGCTTTTAACTTTATGTAAAAATTAACATTCAGTTTTAAGTCAAGACATACATTTGGAGATAGATGAATCCACAGGTGACCATAACTGTCTGAGTATTTTCTGGATGTTGCTGTACATCAGTGCACTGTGTACCTCCATATCCAGCATTATCTTGTCTCCTTTTATCCTTCCACAAACAGTGCAGAGAGTACAGACTGAATGCTAACATAATAATGAAGATAACTGAGGGACCCCGCAATCTCAGGGGTCTCATTTTTCCATTCAGCTCAGAGAAATCTAAACCCTTTAGTTCTTTTTAACTCCAATATGCTGGTTTCGTTTGTTGGGGACAATTTAGCATTTTTGACTGCATTCTTCTAAGCTTTTCTAGACACAATGCTACAAAAGTGCAGGTGGTTGTCCACTTAATTGTAAAGCAACAGGGAACACCTGCATGCCAAGTGTTTCTTGAAGTATAAAAATCTGGCAAGTACCCCTTGTCCCCAAATTTACAGTCATGTAGATTTACACATAAATAAATACGTTCGCACACACACACACACACACACACCCCCCTGCAACTTTTATTCATCTTTATCCATTAAGTAAATCAGTTGCAACATACCCCACGTGTTTTAGTAGTTCCTTTACCTTAGGAGTTTAAAACCAAAACCTCAACGGGTGTTTTGAGAAGCAGGAACATATGCTATGGTATTTTGCAATCTATGAACCTGTAAATACAACAACAGTTAAATATTTCTTAAAATCACTGCATCAGTTGTGTTTGTAAGAGCTTATAACATCCCTAATTCTCCTTTATGTTGGGCCTTTATGGCTTAAGGGTCACTTCACATCAAAGTTCTCTCCTGTAGTTCTTTGGGCACTGGAGGAAGCACAGAAGTCTGTGAGACACTCAGATAACTTTGGAGACAGCACTGCCTTGCTTCCAGCCTTCTAATGCTGCACCTTGCAACTGTTACAGAGATCAGCAGATCACTCTGGGCAACTCTTAATTCCAGTTTATCCAAGGATGTAAATGGCAGTTCTCAAAACACTGGTGACATGCATCTTGGTTCCTGTTTCCCATGCTGATATCTCAGGGCCTCTGGCTTCCTCTGAGAAACTGCCTACTTGTTCTGTGTCCTGCAGGCTTGAACCCTCATTGTAACTTGTGTTGTAAGGACTCTTTGGAGTTAAATACTCTTTCTGATATGTTTTTCGAGCCTAGATTAAATCTAGGATGATTTAAATGGATGATGTGTTACTTTTTTCCCCTTTTGCTTAGCTATGTGAAGGGCTACTACTCTTTTGGACTCATGGAAACAAATTTTTTCGATCGTGCTGAGGAGCTTGCCCATGAGGTAAACTGCCTGCTATTGGTGCTAAAAGATTTTAGAATTCTTAAACGTGGTCCCTGTCTCTGGGTGGTGGTTTGCCTGAGTGCCATGAACTGACTCCCTCCAGCATCCCAGTTGGTAGCAGAAGTAGCAAAGAGATGAGGGTCAACATGGAAACTCTCACAGAGTTTTGTAAGACACTATTGATAATTATTCCTGAGAAAGATTCCCACATTTATGCCATACCAAGTTTCATCTTGACTGTATTTCCTTCCCTTGCTTATAAGCATGCCTTGTCAGATGGTGTCACAACACCCCTATAAAATCCATACATTATCCCATCTGCTCTTTTCCCCATGTACAATTGGCTGTTCACTCCTATTAAAGAATGTTAATTGGTCTGATGTAATCTGCTTCTTGACAATCCATCCTGTTTGGGTTCCCCCTCCCTTTTTTCTGTTACTGGATTATTGAACAATTAACTGTACAATGTTCCTGGGGATCAATATTAGCCAGCCTGTTTCCTTTTTATGAAAGTAGTAATTATACATGGCTTTCTCCAGTCCTTAGGAGTCCTCCCTAGTCTTTAGGAGTCCTCCTTAGGCCTGTCCTCCAGATACAGTTAATCTCTGATGGGTGTTTTTACCAAACTTCTGTTACATCAAATTGCTGCAAGTGACAACAAAGACTAAACGTTAACATTTAACATTTACTAGGTTAATGACTAACCTCACAACATGCCTAAAAACCTAATGGCAGTTGTTGGAGCAAGAGAGGGGAATTTGCTGGACTCAGAGCTGGCCATGTTCTTGCAGAAGAAATGATTACCTGCAAGGCACTGTGTCACAGAATATATTGTGCCTGTGCTTGAAATTCTTTCATGGCTGATACTGATGCATGTCTGTGAAACAAAATGTCACTCGATAATCTTCATCAAAGCCTGCATTTTAAAGTGGTTTGAAGGTGTTTGTCTCTATGCAGTAGAAGCTGGAAAGTGGAGTCAGGCAATAAACATTTTCTTCCTTTTCTGCCCAGCTGTGGTTAGTTGGAATGGTACAGGGAGGTACCTAACATGCAGTAAAAAGTAAAAAGTAGTCTCCTGTTTCTATATCAGCAGTGATAAACATTGTCATTTGCAAGTTTGTAAGCTTCATCCCATTTTCCCTTTTTTCACTCACAGGCTTTGGCTCTAAATCAGACAGATGCATGGTCTGTTCATACTATAGCTCACATAAATGAAATGAAAGCAGAGGTGAAGAAAGGGTTAGAATTTATGAAGGAAACGGAAGCCAACTGGAAGGTAAAGATTCTTGTAGCATCTCTGAAAAACCCCCTTTTAGGTCTTCTTGATTTCCTCCAACCAAGTTTTTGATTCCTTTGCATCCAATTTCTTCCTATTTGCCAACATGTTACAAGGAATACAAAGTTTACGTGTGAGGAGAAACCATCACCTGAGGTGCTGTTCCTATCCCCTCTGCTCTTGAAGCAGGAGGCAGGAAAAAATGGCATATGATGAGGGACACATACTGTGGAGCACTTTAAGTTGTCACTGCTACGACTGCTGAGATTACAGACACAGCAAGCATGTCAGCAGGCCAGGATGCACAGAGTCTGTCATCTCACACTGCCTCACTTTACCTAGGAATATTGTCATGAATACTCCTTTTTAACAAGTGTGTGGTTTGTACCTGTGTGTGTAACTTCTTTTTCCTGGTGGAGCTGATGAGGTGTTTTACATCTCAGAAAGACGTGGTCGTTGCAGACAGGTGAAACATCAGATATGAAAATTGTGAGTTATTTTTATGTGATTTATGGTGTCTTTATGAAAGTAAAGTGACCGCTGCTGTTTTCACAAGCTCTTTGCTTTAGATTGAGGTGAGCACTGAGAGTCATTTGAGGAACCTAAGATGAGGTGTGAAATGACACAGCCAAATCAGATGTTTTGGAAAAACTCATAAAATATTTGTTTGCTTCTGGCTGGGGAAGGATTTTTAAAGGTCAACTGTAAAGAGAAATGATGCTTTTGTCTCTTTTCTAGTGTACTGAAGTTACTTTATATATCCAGCGTATTTGAGTATCTCTCAGAATACTGAACAGGTTAATTAGTTTGTCATATGGTCCTTTGCTGTAACTGAAGCTTAATTTTTGTGTTGGACAGCATGTGTTTTCCCAGTGATTCTGAGTGTTACATTCAGAGCAGAAGGCTGCGAGCTTTGAATGTGTTACAACCCACAAGAGTCTATTTTAGAGTCATCTGAGCTGCCCGTTCCACCTCACTCAGAGCAGGGCTGGATAATGAGATGAGAAGGACCCTTTATTTTGCACTTGTTTTTTCTAAATTAAGCATTCAGATGCTGAGCTTGGAAGTGCAGGCAGAAAAACCCTTACTCGAGGTTCATATCTTATCATTTCCCAGAAAGAATTTTGTCTTTTTAATATATTAGTTTTAATGGAACGGTGTTGCAGGGGACTGACAGTTTGGGTAACGCCTTAAAAAACCCCAATCAGTGACTTTTGGATGGATTTTTGAACTCTGTTTCTTAAAACACTTGCATGCCTCTGATTTATACCCTTTATCCAAATAAAATAAAAGTGCAAAATCAGGAAGTAGAATTGTCTGATGTTCTTGCATGCCTAACCCAGTGCAGTTGTGATTTGTAACACAGTTGTAATGATAATGTGTATAAACAGTTCTTTTGTGCAGTATTTTTCATCTTAAACATCATAAATGCAGAGTGCTAAACTGTAAGCACATGAAAAAAAGCAGGTCTCTCTAAGGGCATTAATAAAGTTACTTGTATTTGGCCTGGTGATTTGAAATATTTTTTTTAATTATTTTTTTTTAATGGCTAGGATCATCTGCTGGTACTGCCACAGTATTCAGGCTCCTTCTGTTGCTTTTAATTCATCTTCCTCCTTCCTAATAAGAGGGGCAAAGATTTGTACAGGTTTTTTTTACAGAGCACTTTTATTTGTTCGTCTACCACCCCCACCCCAAATTTGTTTTTTACATATATTTCAGCACAAAAAAAGGGCAAATTATCTTACCAGAGGGGCCCTCTCTGCCACTGCTGTTTATTATTAAATGGCAGTGGTTTTTCTTCTGAACTGCTGTGGTGAGTTCCCGTAGCCTGCTTTTATTTATTTATTTCAGTCACCTACAAGCCCACTGATCCTTTAGCAATTTAATCTCGTTCAGAACTCAAAACCAGCAGCAGGGAAAAGGTTTTATTCTATTTAGTGAGCTAATCCCCCCGTTCTTGTTTGTCTGACATTTGGAACAGTAGTATGATATTAAATGTGATATTATCAGGTTTATGCCAAGCACTTAACTACTTCAGTTGCTGAGGTTTGCTTTGTGATTTAATATTAAACAAGTGAAGGTTACCAGAATGTTTAGTTTAGCACCATAAAGCTCTGACATTCATTGGGAACCTTTGTGCTTCCTGAAAGTGGGTGTTAGAATTGTTACCATGAAAACGAAGATGCTTTTTCCACTTGTGAGAACCATTAAGTTGAACTACAGCACCAGGGGAGAACGAGAGGGGAGGGATGAACCTTTCTGCTGGTGTAATTTTCACCAAAATATTATGGGATTACATTCCTGTTTGTCTATTTTCGGCGCACTCACAAAACCGAACTTGGCTTGACGTTGTCTTCAAGTGCAGGTTCGAGAAGAATATTGATAATTCTGGTGCCAGCTGGGTGGGTACAGGCCAGCAAGGATTCATCTCCTCTGATGAACTCTGATACCTGGTGCAGCTTTTCTAGGCTGTAGTAAAACATACGTCAAAGAGGTGATTCCTCTCTGTCCAAGATGGGTGTCTAGGTCGGTGGGATGAATGGCCCTCACCATTATTTATCCAGGTTACTTTAGGCAAGACATGGAAATCTTAGATGAGGCAAATCTTACTCTTGTTATAGATATTTGTCTTTTTCCTAAAGAAAAAGTGCTGCAGAAGGGTGAATTCTGGGGCCCCCCAAGTGAGATTCTTCTCTGAAAAAACATGGGGGGAAAAAAAAACGTTGTTTCTGAGGTGTCTCCCTGAACAAGGACAAAAGTATTGAATGAGAAGGTAACCTGGGCAGCTGATTTAAAGCTCTTGTCTTTTCTGTCTCATGAAATAGTTTTGCTGAAGAAGGAAACAGAAATCTGACTAGATATGTTTAAGTGGGAAGTTATTTTGTAAATAATATTTTCTTTTTTTTTTTTTTTTTTTCCAAATTACTGGCACTGGGCTTTATACTTTATTGAAAAGGTATGAGAGATTTTTATAGAGGTGTTTTATGGTCCAGATAGGTCATTCATCTAATGGTATTTAAAAGGCAGACCTAACATTTACAGGCGCTTTTTTTTTTTTTCCCCCAGCTATTTAAAGGGTTGTTTTTATAAAACAGCACAATGCCATTTTTACAAGCTAATCCTTTTTTAAAGTTACTTTGAGAAGTTTTGTTTACATTGGTCAGAATTCCAGGACCTTTGTTAGAATGTTGAAAAATTGCTGTGAGATTATTGGATGTTTGAAGATCAAATTGTCATTTGATAGAAAGATGAACTTGGATCTCTAGTCAGACAAAAATTAGACAAAATTCTCTTCAAATTCAATACTAATTTGCTGACCCCAAAATTTGCTGACTGTAAGAAAATGGCACTAAGCTGTAAATTTGGTTGCCAGTGTTATTAGTTATTAATGGTACTACTTATTATTGAAACCCTCGAAAAATCGTTGCAATTGTACCCAACCTGCCAGGTTGCAAGGCAGAATCTCCTTGGATTTACTAATTCTTAACACTTGTGGGGTTCAGTTCAATAGGGAGACAAACGTGACAGCGTTGAGAAGGCAGAACACATTGTTGGTCAGAACACAGAGTAACTTGCTAGTGTTCAGTCTTATTAACATAGAACAAGTGTAATTCTCAATAGTAGTCTTAATAGCTTGTTTATTTTGCCACCTTCTAGCTGTATAATGTTTCTGCAGCCGACTTAAAATTATTTTTCTTCCTACCTCTTTGTATACACCGTGGGATGCACTGATTTTTGCAGAAATCCCTGAAAGGAACATTAGAATGAGAGGTGATACTTTATCTTTTTCCTCATGTGTCACTTCTACCTATTATTAAATGAAACCTAAACATCCTGATGATTTTTCCCAGTAAATCCTGGTTTATCTTAGACTCTATTCTTAATACCTCGAGATTTCTTTGACTCGGTTTGCTGTGAAGTAATATGATGACATCCATTAATTGTACGTACGGTCACTTTTGGGTACTGTATCTCAACGTTAATCATGCAGTCTTTGTTTGATTTTACAGGGTGAATATGAAGCTGCTTTGACAATTTATGACAAACATGTGAGTAGGGGCCTTTTTTTCTTTACTGAGAACATGCTTAAGACCACGATACGTGTTTATTTCCTTCTGTAGGAAATTGAAACCTATCACAGTGTGCTGTGTGGGGAAAAAAAAAAATAAATTTGACATCTGTTGCTACAGTTTTTCAGGGAAACCATTTCTCATTGGGGTAAAATTCTCAAAAGAGTCCCATGTTGCTTAGTTCAAGTGTTGCTTGGCTTGAAAGAGCTACACTGCTTGTACTGTTTTCCATTCTGCCTGTGTTTCTTATTCATGTTTTATAAAAGGATGGAAAATAATTTTCCTACAAAGTCAAGTTACCTGTACAAAGAACTGTTTTTGCACCGAACTGCTTTGTACCTAACAAGGCACTCAGTCAACAGAAGCATGTCTTTTCATTCCTAGTTAATTTATTACAGTTCTTCACTGTCTGGATTTCAAAACAATCTTTGTAAATAAGCAGGACCAAATTAGATAAGATATCTTTGTAAGGATTCTAAAAGCGATGCAAGCGTTAAGAAAGCTGCTGGGCAGGCTCCTATCTACTAACCTTGGCAAAGTGCAGTAATATTTATGGCACTATTCGGGTAAAAATGAAATACCTTGGTGACTCTCCATACTTCGTAACAAGAAAAGCAACACAAATGAAGCGAGGTAAGTGCTTGTCATTACAAATGGCTGTATTCAGGAAAGATGTGTTTAGTTTTTGAATGAATAAAAAGAGAAAATCAATTCTGTACTGTGAAAACAAGTTTGAATAAGTTCCCACTTGCACCTAAGTGGGGCAGCTCATGAATACCTGTGGTTACAGATTGCGCCCCGGTGTCTGTCAAGTGGGAGCATGCTGGATGTAGTGGATAACTGCTCGATGCTGTACAGGCTTCACCTGGAAGGTAGGAAATCCACCTTCACTGTCAGGGGAACAGCTTGCTTTTTGCCTCCCCCTTCCCCTACCTTGCACGTTGGAGTATTTCAGTATACTTACAGAGCAAGCTTGGTCCCTCTGACAGAAGAAATCTGTTACAGAAGAAAATTCTGCTCTTGAGAAAAGCTTCAACATGAAACTCATAATTTTGTTCTTCCCAAAAGCTTTGGGTTTGTTTTTTTTTCCCATGCTGGTATGGTATTTCATTCAGCTCAAGCTAGCATAGGTCCCATATTTCTTTTTTGACAAATTAATTTTTGTTGTCCCTGGAGATTTGAGACTGAACAATGAAGTACATAAGCCTCTAAAAAGCTGTGGAGCTTCCTTGAATTAAATTTCAAGTTAGAGGTTTAACTTTTCTATTTTGATAGTGATTAAAATAGCTAGTACATGTATATCAGCCTCTGGCTTCTGTGTACTCCCCCAACTCAGTGGTATTTCTCCTTAACATTTTAAAACTATGGTTTATAAACTAGATTCCATGAAGGGGGGGCAACAACAGATGGGTATTATTTTTACAGTCTTCTGCTAAAACACTAATGAGGCATCGGGTTTGTTTATGAAATCCATCATGGCTCTGGTTTTTTTGATTGCTACAGATGGTTAATTGTGAGCATCATCTCCGAGAAGACATGAGTAATCTCGTAATAAAGCCAGAACCTCACACAGTGCGATCTAGAATATTAGTGATAAATACTGACATTCAATAAATTCTTTGCCCAAATGCTGCCGGCTGCAGCTGAGCATTACTGTATGAATTTTGCAACATCAGGGAATGTTTCCTTGAGTTCAGTAGGAATGCTGTTTATGCTCGGTGACTGCAAATACATTTCAAAGTCGTGCTTTTGCACGTGGTATTTTTACTGAGGAAAATATCTTTTTACTCTCAGGTGTAAAGCTTGGAGACAGGTGGAACAATGTTCTCAAGCTTACAAAGAAGCACACCAAAGATCATGTTCTCCTGTTCAATGACGTGCACGTCTTGATGTCCTCACTTGGAGCCAAAGACCACAAAGCTACTGAGGAGCTTTTAACAACTCTTCAGGAACTTGCCAAGTAAGCAAGTGAATTAAAGTACTGTCTTCAATAAATATTTTGTGTTCTGAGCTTCAGGATGATAATGTCTCTGGCTTGCTGAAGCACTACAACATGCTCCTCTCTGCTTTCGTATGTCGCTGGGACATGTCTGGTTTAAGCAAGCCAATCTCCAGTCAGGAGATCCCTATAATGATTTATTTTTTGACTTAAGGTCTAGAGGGGTTTCTGTGTTCTCAAGCAGAGATCTCTTATGTTTGAGGTCATGGGCACTAACTGAACAGTTGCTGTGTATTTCCTTTCAATGGGTTCACACTAAGCCATGCTACGTAAGATGAATAAAGTATTTCAGTGAGGGCATTCTACAATATATGGCAGCTCTCTGTGGTGGTTCTTTTTTTGCTCTGGTTTAAAAGGTTCTTTAATTACGGAGCATTAATCGGTACTGATATTCCAATAGCTACTGTTTGATGTGTTGTGAAGTACCTCTGCAGGAAATTGAATTTCAAGTACGTATGCTAAAGTACTAATAGAGAATGTTTTGCTTTCAAATTAAATTATTTGAAAAATTTGAATATTTAAGTATTTCTTCTAAACAATGGGGGTTTTTTTCTATTCCTTTATGTATTAAATAACTATAAATTGCCTTGTTTTTTTTGAATGGTTTGATATATAGATACTTTAAGTGCAATTTCCACCCACCCCACCCCCATGTTTTTTCCTCTGTTTCAGCATCTATTGCTTCCCTTGCCTTAAAAAAGAAGGAAGGGGAACCTGAAATTGTCACTATTTATTCCTGACTATAATACCCATCAATCAAAAATATTAAAAAAGAAATGTCATTTTTAAGAATACTTACAAAAACCAAATAACTGTCGAATCAAGCCTAAGCGTGTCTGATTCAACTAAAGTAGGAAATGGCAAATATCTTTTATATAAGTATATAAATATATGTAAGTATAGGTATAAAGTCTATAAAACTGCACATGCACCCCACTTCAGGGAAGCTTTAATGAACATATGCTACTTATCCTTTCACTCAGTGCTTCCTTTTGCCTAGATGTTCAGCCTTTTGCAGTACTACAGCTGTCCAGTTTTAGCTGTAGTTTGAAGTGTTATAAAGCTTAATTTTATTATTTGAAAAAACAGACTCAGATGATGGCTGGCTGGATTAATTTATATATATCAAAGATATGTAATAGCTAAATGATACCCAAGATATGCGTTACAAAAGCAGTCATAACACTTTGGCACAAACAAGGGTCATTCTTGGCTTTCCATTAATATTTTTCCCTAGCCTTTGCAATTTAAACTTTTTTTTCTCTAAAGTATTCCATGGCGCTCTCTGGTGGTTGGTACCACATGCTTATTTTCAGGGATGGAAGCGTTAATGCAGGAGGGGGTGTTGTTGCTGCTGTTGTTGTTCATGAATTAATTCTTCAGATCAGTTGCAAGAGAAAGGAAAAAGAAAAAAAAAATCAGTCATGCATTTTCTGAGAGAGCTGGAACAAATGTTTAAATGAAAAACTGTTTCATCATTTTCATCATTAATGTCAAACTGCTTACTTAAAATGCACTTGTGTTTGTGCACCTCTCGCTTTTCAGGAGGCCGTATTTTGTTTAAGGAAGGAGAAACGCATTAGGCACCACTGCGTGCTGAAAAATCAACACTGACCTAGTGGGAGAAATGGGAAATTTGTAATACTGCCTCAGGAAGGAGAGCACAGAGTGTGCTCTGGCTTTGGTAAATTTAAGGTGACTCTAGGCTGTCACTGCAAGCACTCAAAGCAAAAGCCAGTGACTAAGGTTCTTCAGTGTTAAACTGGAAAACTTACAGAAAAATCTGTTCTAAACAGCGGATGGAATTTATAGCATCGAAGTGTGCGCTGTATCCTCAGGAATAACTTATATTGCTTGGGATAAAAAACCCCCTCTCCCTCTCCTCGTATTGCCAGCCCACCCACTGAAATGGCAAGACCTGATCACAGGCAGCTGCTTCTGTAGCAGTGGGAAAACACAGTTCTGCATTGTCCCGTGGAGGTATTGCCTGCAGACCAAAGAGCTACAGTTTGGTTACTTGTATTTTTACTTTTTTTGTTTGTTTTTTTTTTTTTAATATGGACAAGGATGCCTGCTAGAACGTACACATTCTTCTGCAGGCATATTGTCATGCTGTGTGCCTCTTCGACTCTTAGATGGCTTGGAATACAAGCACTAAAAAGAAAAAAATAAAGAAACCCTACCTTAAGAGCTCGCTATTCTGTCGTGGTTAGAATAAAAGAGCAGATTTTGAGAGCTGTTGTTGGGAATAGGTTTATCTTACAAAAACGGTGAGGCACTGTGCCCTGTGGCAAGGTGTTTTGTAAGATGATTTTCCGGAGCTGTTTGCAAGGGACTGAGTGCCACTTTTGGCAGAGATGAGGATAAAGATCTAGCAGTAGGATGTGCTGGTGAGATTATCAGAAGAGGAACTGTGCAGTTTTCTCACTTTTCTAGTGAAAACTATTGCAAAGGCAGGAGGGGTTGGGCTTGGGCCTTTTGTGGATATTTTCAGAATGCAAATGGAATGACTGATGAGTAACAAAGAGCTGAAAGTTAACATAACCACACCAAAAGATGTTACCTAAAGTGCCTGAAACATTGGGGTTTGTACGGGTGGGGGGAAAAAAAACAAATCTGTCTGCAGGCAGTGTCAGACTGACACTGAAATATGCATATTTCTAATTTGATTTAGGGGAGTTAACTGCTTTCTCATTCTACAGAGCACCTTGTGCCGACCATGAGCTTTCCCTGGCCCCTAGTCTGGGGCTGCCTCTGTGCCAGGCTTTTGTAGAGTTTGAGAATGGAAATTGTGACAAAGCTGTCGACCTGCTGTACCCAATCCGTTATCAACTAATCCAAATAGGAGGCAGCAATGCTCAGGTAAAGGAGATCAATAAGAGACTTTTTGATGCGATTTAATGCTCTTTCGGCAGCCTCCGTTAGGCACTTTCATTATTAGCAACACTTCATTCTTAGAAAGTGAAAAGCTGAACTGTGCTTGTGACCAAATCCTGTTTGCAAACGCTTATTAGGAGTGTTGGCTGTTTAATTTTTCTTGCGGATGTGTTTCCTTCCTCAGTTGTTTTAATAATTTGGTAAGTGAGATACTGTAACCAGCAACACTTTATATATTACTTATTACTTTGTGGTTTTGCTGACTTGTCTTTTTCAGAGGGATGTTTTCAGCCAGTTACTGATTCATGCTGCTTTGAATTCTAAATCACAAGCCAAACAAAACCTGGCAAGGTGAGTATTTTTCCTGATAACCATTTGTAGTACTGTTACTAAAAGTAAGAAGTAGCGAGTATACTCAAACCGATAAATTAAGGGTAAAAGTATACGCAAGCATTTGTGTTCAGTATAGTAACGTTTAACTGGGATTAAAAGTACAATTAGCTTCCAGTTCCAGGAGTACACTCTTTTGGTCTGGATGAATGATCTGTCTGTGTTCAAGGGCAGTTGATTTTCAGGTAGTTCTGCCTCAAAACGTGGCCTCCTGCCTGTGGATCAGTGCACTGTAATGGGCTGCTAAACTTCTGTAAATCAAATCTGTCCTGCTGATGACACTGCTTTATTGGGAAATAAGATTTGCAGAGTCCGATATGTGAACTCACCTTAGTGCAAATCCCCTGTTTGATAGAAAGCGTAGATGCTGCTTCTTCACTCATATTGAGCTCTGTTGGAATGTACTGACTGGGTCTGCCAGCGAGCCTAAAATAACAGATCCCTGGGACAATATGCCGCCTGGCCTCTTTCCCTCCTGAGGTCTCTTTGAAACATAAAAATTAGATACAATATCAAAACAATTCTTCTAATGCCCCCTGATCTCTGAGAGCTCAGTTTCAGTCTTTGTCAGTACTGAAAACCACACTGTTCTCCCTAAATTTATTTCCAAGAAGGGAAATCTGCACCTCACGAGCAGGTCTGTACGTGCTGTTTTCCTCCTCTTACCAGGATACCCCTGGTGATCTTACAGGAAACCTGAGGTTTTACTCACAACCTTCCTGTTTCTCTTACCTCTTCTCCTTCCTCAGGTGCCTCCTGAGAGAACGCGATGTGATGAGACCCAATTCTCCAATGACAGAGCGACTTATTAGGAAGGCAGCAGCTGTTCATTCAGTGGCGTGAAAAGTCCTTCCTCTGTGCTTCAGCTGAAAGAGCAATCAGTTCACCAATCAAAGTCTGGGTGCAGGGAGCAGAGGGGTGTCATGCTGTAAACCTAGAGATTCACCATAGGTCAGAGTACCCTAGGAGCCAGAGATCTGATGAGAGTTTCCTTACCAAAAAAACCCACCACACAACCACAGCTGTTGTATTTCAGGAGGTTGTATCTTAGATGATTCCACAAGGAAAAAAAGACAATAAGCTGCTGCTCAGGCACCACTTTCTAAAGCATCCTAGGACACTACTTTTCTGGTTATATTTTTCCAAAAGTTCCCTCTGACCCTCATTATATACAGCACAGTAACAGTGCCTGAATTTCAGTCATTCATTGGCCCAATTTATTACTTTGTTAATATGTTAAATAATCAGTAAACCACTCAGGTAATTTTAAATATAGCTAACAGGAAAGTATGGGGCTGGAGCCACTACAGGCATAAACTGAATTCTGTATCAAGCTTCCACTCCCTTCAGACATGAGTCACAGGTCGGTCTGCATTCAAGATCTCTTTCCAGGTGTGTATTTTTAAACTCCCTCTCATAAAACGTTAAACATTTTCCTTTCAATACAGCACCTCAGAGCTTTCTGAAATTACCATGTGAACAAAACCAGCCCAGAGGGATAATAGCTGGCTGTGACTGTTCTAATGCAGGTACTCCCTTGGCACTTTTAAGGCTTTCAATGAAGAAAAAAAAAAAAAAAAGAAAAAAGCCTGGATTTCAGCTAAAATAGTACCATCTCTGAATGGTTGTTTGGGCTCGTGTCTTTGTGCTCACCTGAGCTTTTGGAAAGTCAGGCCTTACTACCCTCTCAGTAGGACAGGTCCCTCTAAAGTAGAGTTTAAAACCACTGTGAAAACTTATTACCACCTCAATAGGATGGGTCCCTCTAAAGCAGAGTTTAAAAGCGGTTCGTAGAGCCTGGAAGGGAGGTTTTGCCATAGACGGAGCGCTAAGGGGAGCTGGCACAAAGCGTTGTCGAAGCACAAATGATGTAACAAGCTTTTGTGCTGCAGATGAGGCACAGGATGAGCCATGAATCTCTAAAGTTCTGCTGCCTCTGGATTTCTGCAGCGTAGCAGAGCTAACAGCTTGTCCTGCAACAGCCGTCCAGAGATCCCTAATGAAGAGAAAGGATATTTCAAACCAAAACTGAACGAATGCTGCCTCTCCTTCCCAAATACAAATGCCACACTCTTCAGCCACCCAAGCTCTGCCCTTAGTATCACATCTGCAAGCTCTCCTGGGCACACAGGTGCCAGCCCCTCCTTCCCGGCCAGCTCGGCCTCTTTCCCATGGCCCACAGCAGCCCCATTCCACCCAGTTTCCTTTTGACCTCAAAAAACCCCACCTTCATAACTGGTCCTGGAATTCCTGCATAGAGGAATGTGGAAGTGCCTTGCTGCCACCCTTCTTCTCCCAGCCCTCACTTGAGGAATAAGTAGTTTATTTTTAAATCAATGATAATTTGTGAAACCAGGTTAAGGGTATTGCATCCTTGCCTGCAGATTTTTGAATCCTGCAGCCAGTTGTAGTTCCCTGTTCTTCAGCTTTGTCACTTTATCTGTGCAGCCATGACTGGGATTGGCTTGCTCTGTGCTAAAGTTAACTAGATTTTTACTATTAATCGGTGCATTTCAAGCAATGCCTTTAGACAGATTTTTTTACTCAAGGAATAGACCAAATTTTATTAGAGAACAAAAGCCTGAGGAATCTGCTGGCTGGTTATGAGGAGTGTAGTTTATGTGATCCATTGCTACACAAATTCAGGAATTACATTAGTAGTACTTTTGATATAATGTGATTGAGAATTTTGTCTGCTTTACATCAATAAATGCGAAGATGTGCTTAGTTGAGAGCAAATACATGACTTCTTTGCGTAAAGCTTTTAAATGGGTTATTTACCTAATTTCATAAACCTGTAACAGTGTCCTCTTTGCTTCCGTGAACATGACTAGAAGCTTTCTCATTCAACTAGTACTACACATTTTGCCCATAAATGTGGAGTTTCTGGTTTTCTTCCCCTCATTTTTATCTAAAATACTTTCATTCTGTCTTGTTTCACCATCCTATGCTGCCTTGTTTTCAGTTACCATTATGGAAAAGAATGAAAAGCAGGGAGCTCAGCGGGAAGAACGACAGGAGAGGAAGAGCTTGAGCAGGGATCGTGGAGACTCCTAAAAGCTCAGGTTTTTATATCTTAAGAGCAGGTGATACAAGTATTTTTTTTATAAAGATCTGCTGCTTACAAGATACTGATTTCGGACAGGTTCTGCAAATACAGAGACAGCCCCATCGTGTCTCTTGTTCTGTCTTTGCCACGTGCTACTGCCAGACCTGCTTCGTAGTTAAGCTGTCCTAGAACGGGCAGTGATGCTTGGTGGTGGGTAGAGGGGGCTGCTGTGAAGGAGCTAAGGGCTCACCCCCCAGCCCTCCAGCTTCTTAGTTTTTTGGGGGGAAGAATCGTGTCACCACCTCAGTGCTATCCTGATGTACACTGGACTCAAGTCCTTTTTTTGTTGTTTGTTTGCAAATCCAAGACTGGATTTATTACAGTCACCCAGGGTGAAGCATGCAAGTTTTCAATCCATTTTTGCCTGATAAAGGCATACCTCTAGCTCTTTTCAAATACAAAATAAAGGCCTCAGGCTGCTGCAGGAACCTCTGCACGTGTGCTTCTTTAGCATCCTGGTAGGCCGAGCGACTGACCCGAGAGCTTTCCAGAGGATATTGATCCTACCTGTGCACAGCCTCCGTGCAAAGTCCCACCAGCCCCGACGACGCTTGGCAGCGGGAAATGGGCTTGTTCTGAGGCCTCAAGGCTCTTTCCCCAAAAATGGCTGTTGAATTTGTCTTGCAAATCTCGTCTGTGAGACGTAAGACCCCGAAGAGCAGCTGTGCCAGAAGGCTGCACGCTCACAGCTTTTGCTTCAGAGCTGGCGCCGACATTGTGTGGCCGTAAAAGCCGGTCGGAGGAACTCTCCAAGTCTCAGTTTGAAGTTTTTAGAAGGCAGCGCTGGACACACGGGGGAATTATTCCACCTAACATGCACAGGCTAAAACAAAAGTTCATCCTTGATATACCTTAAAGATATGAATATTCATACATTTTCCAAGAAGTCTCCACCTCTCTACTACATTTACATAACACTGGCATTGCAATATTATACTACATGGGGGGGGGCGTGTCTCAGGTGGCCATTTGAGCAATTACCCCCCCTACTCCTTTCTCCCTTTTATGGTCATGAGTCTTTTTGAGGACAATTTCTTCTCCTTGGATGTTTCCCAGCTCTGTTGTCCAGCCATGCTGTTCTTTCTTATCCTCCTTGTTTGAGCAATTCTGCCAGGATGTGTCTGTTCTCAGGGTTAGGATATTTTCTCGGTATGTTTTAATCACTCAGGCCTTGTTAAATACAAATTTAAACATTGTTTGGCAAAAGAACTTCTTAATATTTAAGGTATAATGGATCACTAATTGTTACAGGCACCAACTGCTCGCAGGCATCAGTGGCAGCTTTTTTTTATGGCTTCAAGGTGCCAGGGAAGCAAAACAAAACCCCCAGAGCCTCACAGGGGCTCACACCGTCCCCTCAGAACACGTTCCTGCTTCATACTTGAAGGGTTTAGGCTGGGGTGGAGGGAGGGACTAACAGAGCTGCTGACTGCCTGCTTCAATTGTGCCAGGCCTACGCTCTGGTGTAAGCCAACTAGACGGTTGGTACCCTGCTCATAGGGGTACACTGGGAAAAAAAAATTCTATACAGAAGTAAACTGCGAACTTACAAATATTGTTTGTTTAAATAAAAAACTTACAGTGGTGCTACTCATAACACATTCTGTGGTGCGACTCCCTGAACTCGGTGTCGTGACACGTGAGTAGTTATTCCCTCAAAGAGCAAAAATATCAAGGGGGAAAAAAAAAAAAAAGGCAAGAGCAGCAGTATCTGGGCGTGTGAATAGACCCTATAACACTGTGCCTAGAAGGTGCTGAAGTTAAACTGTGCCCTTAGTAAATGTATTTTTAACCTTTACCAAACAGGCTTGTTCTGCACCTATAGAATTCCCTAAAAACCATTAATGAGATTCTAATATAAAGGTGGTGAGTGAGGCAGCTGCAGCAGGGCAGTCAATAACCTGCTTTTGGCCAATCCCAGACACCAAGAAAAGCATCAGTAGTGACAAATCAAAAGTGCTGTTACCAGACTATTTCAGTCTCAATAGGCAGCACTAGGATTGCCAGAAAAAAAGCAAATACGGTTTTGTCCAGGGTCAATAGGAATGGGAAAAAATTACCTTCCAAAATTCTGTTGGTTATCATGAAAAGCCACTTTGATTTGGTCTTACCTTGTGGCTCGTCTTCCCTTGCAGCAACAACTGGGACCATAAACCAGCCCCGTGGCTCCAAGGGTACCAGATGAGGCATTAGGCCTTTCCTCTTGCACGTTAGGCCTCGTGTGGAGCTCAAAGGGTCACTGTGGTAAGCACGGCCTTTCCCTTGCAGGGGGTTCTTCTCAGCATCAGTTAGGAAGAGGTGCCGGTGGGTGGAAGAACCGTTTCTTTATGCTTCATCCTCTTGCATTCAGAGTGTTTCCCTAGCTCTCCTCTCTCTTCAGCATCATCACCCAGGCTGACGTTCTCATCTCCCTTCCTTGCCCAGAGCAGCTCTCCCCCCGAGTCCAGCCCCCCCATGATGAAAGAACCAATATCCCGTGCACGAGAGAGTTTAACCCCCACCCACCGGTGGTTCTGGCCAGGCCTCTGGAAGAGCTGTTTTGGAGAGGTGAGGCATGGCCCTGGATATGCTGGTTCTTCCCTTGTTCTCCCTCTAGATCTTGTGATTTGTTCTGATTTTGAGCTGTCAGCATCTCGCTGGCATTCTCCATCTACTTGCCTGACTTGTAGCTTCAGATTCTTTAGAAGTTACCCATCTAAGTATTGAAAAAAACACATTCTAAGAACAAATCACAGAATCATCTCGGTTGGAAAAGCCCTTGAAGCTCCTCCAGCCCAACCATGACCCTCCCCCTGACCCTTCCCAACTCCCCCAGAT